CAGAACTCCAAGGACTTGTACCTGGATTACAGATTGTCCTTGTGACTTGTGACCACAATTAGGACCATAATTTTGGCTGGTGAGTGATGTGGTTGATAATCATTATGTGACTAGACTTGATATTATGATTATTTTGTAATACAATCATTAAATAAATCACTAAGTGAATCACTTAGTTCTTAAGCGAATCTGGCTTCTCCAATTGACTTTGCTTGTCAGAAGCCAGCTGGGATGGTTGCAAATCACAATCATGTGACCACAAGACACTGCAACCATTATAAATGTGAGCTGGTTACCATGTGCCCAAATTGTGATCAGGTGACTGTAGGAATGGTGCAATGACCATATCTTTGAATACAAGTCTTAAGCCATTTCTCCTAAGTCCATCGTAATTTCAAATCATTACTAAATGAATGGTTGTAAATTGAGGACTACCTATATCATTTGTTCAGTGCCAGTATAACTTGGAATGATTGCTGACCAAATGGTGGTAGGTAGGAGACTGCTAAAAAAGCCAATGCAGTCCTAGCTGCATCAAGAGAGGGATAGTATCAAGATCATATGAAGAGGCAGTACTTTATACTGCTGTGGTAAGACCATTCTTACCATATCAAGACTCTAGAAAGAGCAATAAAGATGATTAGAGGATTGGAAGCTAAAGCATATGATGAACAATTGCAGGAACTTGGTATGTCTAGTCTAATGAAGAAAAGGACTAGGAGTGACATGATAGCAGTCTTCCAATTTTTGAGCGGCTGTCTCAGAGAAGAGCAGGTCAACCTATTTTCCAAAGTATCTGAGAGTAGAACAAGAAGTAGGATGGAAGTTTATCAAAGATAGATCCAATGTAGAATTAAGGAGAAATTTCCTGTCAGTGAGAACAATTAATCAGTGGAATGGCTTGCCTCCAGAAGCTGTGAATGGTCCATTACTGGAGGTTTTTAAAAAGAGATTGGTCATTAATTGTCTCCTGCTTGATCAGGGGTGAAGGGTCTCCTGCTTATGCAGGGGTTTGAATAAGAAGACCTCCAAGGTCGCTTCCAACTCTGTTACTCTGAGTTTCTTTGCTGTACATTCTTATTTGGTTCTAAGATGTTGAAACTTATTGCTTAGAAAGATCAACTAACTCAAAACCAACCCATACAAACATAGAAGCATAGACCTTGATACTATGTTAAGTTCCTAGTTGAACTGTTTGTTCAAAGCAGATAACATCCCTAACAGATGACTGTTCAACATTTGCTTAAATATTTTCACCAAAGATCAAAATTTGTCATATCAAATAATTCACAACATAATGAAATTGCATTTGTATCCAAAATGTGCTTGCTTGCAATCCATTTGCTCTAGTCTGACTATAGCATGACAGACTTTTAAGGATGTGCCTTGCATTTTGTTATAGCTACTAATTAATTCCTCAAGCCAGGTAGACAACAATGGAGGGTCATAATGTTTCTTATGTCCATATTTGCAGCTGATTTAGTAAACATATTTAAGATGATTTGAGAACATTGTAAATGTCATTTGAGTGCCATGCCTACAGTACCAATATGTGTACAATTCCTTTGCATGTAATGAGCTAGCTATGAATATTTTGCTTCTTTGTATGCTTCTCTCCAAATTAGCCAAATTACTCTTCCTCCTAAGAAACAAATCCAAAACCTCTTTGTGTCCTTGGAAGTGAAAATGCTGCAAGTATAAAATAATGACAAACAGAATTCTACTCCTATATAGCAGGTTCTTTCAACTCCAAATGTCAATGCTGGCCTGTAGAGCTAGAATTGCTTTAATAATTTAATTTGCCCTAATATTTAATAATTAATTATCAAATTACACTGATCTTTTCTGCTATTCTGTTCCTGATGTTCTATGCCATTTGCTGTTTTCTAGCAAACATTTAATTACCAGCTTAATAACATCATCAGAGCATAGAGGAGTGTAGTATGCTAGTTATTTGCATAAATAATAATGCAATATTGTATAATGATAAAAGCAAATGAATCCACATATTAAGATTTATAAGAATTATAAGCATGATTTAGTGATGCATGAAATACAGAAAATCTGGAAAGTAATTCCAGTTTTTAATACAAGTAGTCCTTCACTTACAATCATTTGTTTTGTGACCATTTAAAGTTACAAAGGCACTGAAAATAGAGTGTTATAACCAGGGCTTTTTTTTTGTCATAGAACGCCCAGAACAGAGTTCCGGCATCTTTTTTGGATGGAACTTTGTAGGGTAGGCAAGGTGGGTTGTATGACATGTGTGAGTTCCGGCACCCTTTTTTTTTTTTTTTTTTTTACAAAAAAAGCACTGCTTATAACTATAGTAGCATCCCCATAGTTACATGATCAAAATTCAGGTGCTTGGCAACCAGCAAGTATTTATGAAGTTTGCAGACTCCCAGGGTCATGTTATAGCCTTGTGACCTTTCCAGCTTGCTTGTGACAAGCAAAGTCAATGGGTGAAGCAGTGATTCGCTTAACAACCATGGTAAAAAAGGTCATAACAACAGGCACAATTCATTTAACAACTGCCTTGCTTAGCAATAAAATACCTAATCTCAAATATGATCCTAAATTGAGGACTCCTTGTATGCAATGATATTTATAGCTACTAAATTCAAGAATACATATTTTGGGTTATAACTTTTTTGTCTCAGTAATTAATGGTATGATAATGAAACAACATTGTAATATGCTTTATCATTGATAAGATTCACTATAGCTCATAGAATGTAGGGGTTGTGAGGAACCTTAAAAACCACAATTTTTAGCTTCCTGTCCAATGCTTATACTATTGCCATATCCCCAACAGATTACAATCCTGCCTCTGTTTAAATATCTGCAATAAAGCAAAGTCCACAAAATTCTCAAGCTTCATTTTTAAGGCTGTCTAACAAAACCAACTTCCTTATAGCTGAAAAGCTTTTTCACAATGCTGCTCTAAAGTCTACATAAAGTTTTATACAGATTTATACAGAAAGAAATTATGTTTCCCTTCTCTCTTTTCTTCTCAAAATTAAACCTACTCAATGTCTTGGCTATTCCATGTATGATTTTCCTTGCAAATTATTATTTTAGTTGTCCTCCTCTGCAAATATCCAAATATTTAAACTATGGTGGTCGTAAGGGGAAAATATCATAATTGTAAGAGCTAACTGTTTCTTTCTATATTCCAGCTGGTATGTACTATATATTAATGGAACATGAACCAGCATTTTCAGTACTTCACTCCCAAGCAATAATTCTTATCAAAATTGTCTAATTGTATGTATATCAAACCATGGCATAGTTCTCCCATTAATAAGAAAGGAAATACACTGACTTAAGGCAAAAGAAGTAAGAAAGAAAAATAATGCAAATGTAGTTTAGTTCAATGCTCTGTTGCACACTGAAATATGATAATGAGTTCTACCTTCAAGAATTCACAGTGTTAATTAGCTTAATGTTTCAGCCTTCAGGTCTATGCTGCCCTCATCCCAGATAGTGACTTCATTCCATAATATACTTACTAATGGTTGACTGCATTGCTAGCATATATAAAACAGTTTCCTCTTAACAGGGACTAGAATGCTTTCTACTAAAGAATTCATAGCCTTTTTCTTTTACTTCTGCAAGAGAAATCAGACAGATCAAAGCTGCCAGAACTTTTCTTAAATTCAAGTGAGTATGTATATTCTCTCTCTGCGTCTCTCTCTTTCTCTCCCTCCCTCTCTCCCTATCCCTCTCTCTCTCACACACACACACGATTCTACTCTTCTTCATGCCTTTCTTGGGTAACTAATGTCTGTGCCATATGAAAGAATATGCAGATAGAATATTATCCAAAGATATAGAATGAGAGAGAATGTGAGAAAGATCACCTTAGAAATTATATATGCACTAGACAACCTGTCACCCACTGAGTCATCCTTTCAGAGATATTTTTTGACCTAAACAGAGAAACAGAATGGATTGCTATTCTGGGGGTTTTACCACAATGTTATACATTACACAGTTTTGTCCAGTTAAAGCTCAGGACAATGAGCATTTTAGTATTATATAGATATATATGTTTACAGCTTAATGTATATAAAACACAATTTCCAGAGAAGAAATGGCAGATTGCAACAGAATGAAGAGCTAGTGAATAAACCAGCTCTTCATACTTTCTCTCTGGACAAGGAGAGGACTTTAGATTGCCTGATCCATAGAATTACTTCTCATGAGACTGAAAGACAATAATCTCTGATGGATTTAAAGTTCTGGGAGAAAAGATAATAGCTATCTTGCTCAACCCATGGTCAGTGCCTATAAAGACTGTGGCTTCACATACTTCTTTTTCTGATTGCTTTCAGAAATTGCTTGTTAACTGCTTTTTGGTTATTAGGAATTATTATTGTTGTTGTTATTATTATTATTATTATTATTATTATTATTATTATTATTATTATTATTATTATGCTAATAAGAGCTGCTGCTAGAAAAACTGAAACAAACAGACTCTCTCTGCCTTTCCCAAAATCAGGATTAAAAAATAATAGCCAGTTTGGCTTATTTTCCATCTCTAGCACTATTTGAACAGTATTATGATTCTGGCTTTGCCAGAAAACCCAACAAAAGGACAGCCCCAATCCTCTCAGCCTGCTGTGGGAATGGGAGAGCAGAAAAATGGCACTGCAACAAGGAAATGGAAAATGATGTTACAGCAACTAAAGCAGGAACAGCTACTATAGCTATAAAATCAAAAGTTTCGAACATCGTAGCCTTAGGAACAAAAGCCACTGGAAAGAGTAATAAGTCTGCTTAAACTCTGTCTGGAGCTCAGCTTGGGAGCTCAGCTTAATGGTCAGCAGCCAACCAGCCAACCTTGAGAACTCAGCTTGACACATGGCTTGGAGCTTGACAGCAACTGT